TAACAACTAGCACATATAAACACTCATAACCTGGTAGCTAACTATTTAAAAGACCTATGGTTTAGGTATATCTACGTTATTGTAATGTCGTTGACGTTGTTTTCGTCGAAACAGATATATATATATATATGTTCACTTGTAACGGTGAACGTATTTTAAGATGTTATTAAAAACATAAAAAAACATTTTACGATTATAGGATTATAGTTTAAAAATAATTTAAATATTGAATCTATGAATAAGTCCTCAATATATTAACATGACATACATTTATTTAGTTTCCCAAATTTTATATATGTAAGTAAAATAATAATATTTGCAGTGAAACTTCTATGTTATTGCTGTCTTTCGAGGGGAACGAAAATTTGTCCGTAATGTAATACAGAGTTTTCCGATATTCAGAAAGTAGCATTATTTTGTGATTGAAATAACTGTTGTTATATTATTTAAATTGCGAATTTTAAGTAAGTAATGATTTTACTGTATTTTTAAAAAACTGCAATTAAAATTAGTTATGTTTGATTTTTAAGTGAAGCTTTACATCATAAAACGATTAGAAAGATTTGTTTTTCCTTACCAACAATTGATTCTAACTGTATTTTACATTTGTATGTACTATTTAGGCACATATAAAACCATGACAGTTTTTAATCAGTTTGGTAAGTCAAAATGAATAGGTACTTATATTGAGAATTGTAAGTACTGATTTCATAAAGTCGCAATTTGAAATATAACCATAATATAAACTTATTTGATTTTGTAAAAATACTAGGAAAAACAGAACATTTAAAAATTAACATATCCTTGTAGAAACGATGTCTTCTTTTTCTATTGAGTTTGAAAAAAAATGATGGTTTTCTATTGTGTTATGTGAAAAAATGTATAAGTTTAAGTAAAGTAAATATTAGACATTAGTTTAATTATTTTATTGTATAATACTTGTAGGTATTTCAGTATTTGAGAAAATTAATCTTGCGTTGTCTTATAATAATTTATGACTTTTTAGACTTTTTGAAATATACATGGTAAAACTTCTGAATAAAATAATAGTTTTGTTAAGAACTTTATTTTCCTATTTATTTATTTTTGTTCTTATCTTACTCACCAGCTATTATAATACATGAGTTATGACAAGTGTTTTTGTTTAAAAAATCAGTCGAAGATCGATCGTATAATACCTATACCGCATTAAATTGTCTTGATATAAACGATCATAGTTTTTATATTATTATAATATTGTGTGCTTCACATCGGTTTTATAATACGCCTCATCTCTCCTCATTATCATGTCTATCATAATTTCACCTATTCACCTAATTAGTTGGTTTTTATTACATGTTATACATACATATACATACATACATGCATACATGATACAAATGCTACTATACTTAATATATTCTGTGCATAATGAAGAGACTAGTTGGGAACAAAACAAAATATTTTATGCACGTAGGTATAATGTATTTAGCCGTTTAGCTACACTTTTAAGATTCTGAAAAAGTTATTGGTGAATGGTCTTATACGGGAGTATAATAATATTATAATATATAGTAGGTAAGTCTATACATAGTAGAAACTAAAAGAGTAAACTATTACAATAAAAAAATCATATCTAGTTATTCAAAACCATAATATATTTTCAAGTTTATTGGTGAAAACATGTAGGTCAACCGACTGTAGTGTACTATATTATTATATATGCGTGGTGTCGCCTGTAGTAAATTATATACGATCTGGCCACTAAACGGAAGGATTGTTGTTACGACTCTCGATTCGGTTATACGAGTGTAATAAAGATAAAAAAAAATTTAAAAACACTCCTATACATAAAATTTACTGATTAATTTGACATTACGATCTATGATGTGTAAAAAAGTTTCATATTTTTTTAAATGTAAATAGTATCGAATTACTTCCATACAGCTCGAACTCAATTTAATATATTCAAATACCTGTATATAGCGTAAATATATGGGTACCTTTAATTTTATTATCCATTACATGACAAATTTGATCGTATAATATTATATTGGATATAAACGATAAACGATAAACTAATAAATATATCCAGTTCGTTAATATTGTAGTAGATAAAGATTTATAACTACTAACTTATTTCTTACATAAATAAACCAATTTATTTAATTTTCTCATATATAAACAATAAAATAGTTCAGAATTACTTATAAACATACAATATCAAAAGGAAAAATAAAATAAATGGTATCATAATAATATAATACATTATAGTGATAAATAAACACGAGATATTTTAGGAGTTTATATTATAATTATTATGTTAAACTGATTACTATTCGAAGTATTAAAATTTTACTATCATGCTGTAACTGCAATATTATTATTAGATATTTGAAACAAATGACGTAAAATATTTTAATTTTTGCTATTTTAAAATGTAATTTAATTTACGCTGTATTGAATCTTTTGTACTTCATTATTTTAATCAATAATGTTAATAGTTAATACCATTTGGAATTTACCTTAAATGTTTCACAAAACCAATTACACGCATAATCAAATTATCCATCAACATCTGGTCATCAATTAACTTCAACATTTCGCTCTAAATTAATCAAATGAAATATTTAAATAATTCATTAAATAACTGATTACGAAAATACAATATATAACTACTATGTCATTACGTTATTTCATTGAGATTCTTCGTCAATCTATCCCAATTACTATTGAATTCATCTACCTAAATTATAATTAAATACATTATTAGTATTGATTTGAAAATGTAAAATATTTCAGGGATAAACATTTATAATAGTAGTCGTACATTTCGTGAATGATAAATCTATCTGGTAATCACGTAAGAACTAAAATAACACCCAGAACTTTTGCCACAAGAAATTTGAAAGACCGCGTACGAAGAAAATTGAAATTAAAGATACAATTTTTAATATATTAATTTTCTCTAAACATTCCAATTTTCTCTATTTTGATTTATTAATAGGAACATGTGGAACTTTTGTGGTTGGCTTTTAATAAAAAAAAATATATTTACATACAAATATGAGATAAATCGTAATAAGAACTACTTACTCAGTTTTGTGTACTAATTTAGAGAGGCAGGTACACCCCATTCGATGAATTAATAATCAAAATATATCATAAAATATATATATACTTGCACGATAAATTGTGACAAATCTCATAGCTGATCAATAATCATTTCAGAATAAATCGGCCAAGACTATAATACCATTGAGGTCGAGGTGGCAACTGAAAACATCGCATGACTATAATAAATAGAGTGATGTTGCTTGCGATTACATTTTTTTCATCGAAGTGAGGCTTACCTATCGTTATTCGCGGTACATTTGACGGTGGACGTTACCGTTTCCATTTACGGTTTCCGATCGATCGGGTATCGTATATTATATGTGCCTATCTCGATCTCGCCGATTAATGAGTATAGACATTATTTTGTTCATTAGTCATTTTATATTAGACCATAGCTTCCCGATTGTTGGTGAAATGTTATTCAACCTGCATACATCATTAATCCCTATAATTTTATATGAAATAAACTTTGGAGACGCGTGTAAAATATTATTTTTTGCATGTGTAAATGACAATTTTGGCGAATATTACGAGATGTGTATCACCGATTAATCATCGAGCATGCCATTTAATATTATTACAGAACTTTTTCATGTAAAGGGTTCTATTAGTTTCCAAAAAAAAAAAAAACATTTACGATTCCGCCCAAATAAAAAAGCTCAATTTTGTTTTCGACAAAAATAATATTTGATTTTTACATATCGGGCGTGATATTATGTTAGCCTTAACTGATTTATTTGAGGAAAGTTTAGCTCAAACACCAAACGACAATATCATATACCTATTTTCCGTGATCACAAATGTGCATGTTTGTTTTAAAAAAAATGAAAATTTTAAAACAATATCACTGAAAGTATTGGTACTCACGATATTTCCTACGTGACCTACACAGCTAAATAATCATCTTCTTAATTTCAGAGTTGAATAACTTGAAATCGATCGACATATAATAGAGTTTAAATCTAGATAAAATATTAATTTTCATGTAAACGAAAATGTTTTACACATCAAACAAACCGCAGATTTGCCCGTCGGCTGTTTTCGGGCTCATAACAGCTGCCATAAAATAGGCAAGTACCTACAGTAAGCATAATGCGATTGCACGACGACAAAGGAAACGTAGAAAATAAAAATAAATGATACTAGTGGGCCGCTGGTGGAAACCCTGTTTGTAGAACGCCACAATAAGTGCCAGATCGTAAATCCACGCGGTCCCGTTACCCGGAATCCGTTATGGGGTCATGCGGAGACATAATATATCAGCTATAGGTGAGCAGCTCGCGTGAGGGGTTTCACCAGCACACGCACTCACACTACTCGCATATTATAATATATTATATACACATGATTAATATATGTATGTATAACGTGTAGTGAATACGCCGTAGTCGGTATAATATGCGCTTATGCGCTGGAAACCGGTCTCCAGGCCGATGGAGTTCGTCGACCGCCCCCACGTTGTCGTCGTCGTCGTCGTGCGCGATGGACGCAGCGACCGGGATCCTGCAGCGGGTGTTAAGCCTATTCTCGTGGACTTCTACGCCTCCGCCGCCTACCCGAAAACCCCCCCTCGTGGAAGACCGCCGCCACTCCCCTGGTGTGCCGATCGCAGGAGTAAGACTCGAACTTGAATTTTTCACGTCCGAATGTAGATTACCGTTTCGGATTTTCGATCTCGCATGACAGAAAAAGATACTCGATATATCGTTTTAATAATACTAATAGTAATAATAATAATAACGACGGAGACGCAGTGGAGTTTTATAATTTACATACTCACACACATACACACACACACACACACACACACACACACACACACACACCTACCGGACTTTCCAGACGAGTTCGTGTGAGTGTCCGTCGCGTATAAAAAGACCGTCGGTCCACAGGCCAGCATCACACTCGTCTTGTACGCCAAACCGGACGTACCCACACAACAGATCGACACCGCAGAGGATTTTAGTTTCAGCAACAAACGCCGCACGACGACAATCATGGTGTTCAACAAGAAATTGGTTTTGCTGATGGTGTGCATGTCGGCCGCCATGGTGTCTTGCCAAGTGCCAGCGATCGGCGGATGTCCGGAATTCGATTCTCACCCAGACTTCGATATGAACAGAGTAAGCGCGCATCCTGGTTCCGGTATTTAATTCCCGATGATTTTCTGTACTGATAGCAGTCGGACCGATATCATGGATATCTGCAAAACGTTCGTCTATGACTTTTTTAGGTTTCATTCGGTGCCAGGAATATACCTACATATTATCATAACTCATAAGTAGTTGAGTTTCCATTTCGTTCTATCTTGAAATGTATAATAATTCAATAGGGACATTTTTTTGACTTTTATCGACTGGTTTCAGGTTTCTCGGTGGATTTTCTTGATAACAGCATAGGCACCTAACTTCCTTGTTTCATTTTTTTTTAGTAAAAAGTCATCTCTTTTTTCTCCGTGTAACGGTGATATTGCCACTCTTTGTGCTTTATATTATAATATTATTATCATCTCACGTCGAAGAGAAAGGTCTAATGGTGTAGTGTACAAATGACGTTTAACTAAAAAAAATAAATAATTCAATAAACAGAGCTTTTTAATTTTAATGCTTTGGACCTAATTTTATAATTTCAGCTTTAGGTACTTTAAATTGTTCATGAGAAAAAGTGTTTTAAATGATAATTTTTTCGATTTTAATTTATGAATATTATTATGATATAATGAGTTATAAAACATTGTTCTTATAATTATGTTATGAAAAACGATTTAAAAATAATTATTTATTTACTGAATTTAAAAAGATTCCAAAATTACGATTGAAATATTATGTATTATTTATGAGGTTTTATTTTTAGGAAAATTAGTTTTTAAAAGCATTTGATTCCATTATATAAAATACACGATAAATATCTAACATTAAGATAATAACCAAATATGAATTAATTACACATTATGTTTTCCTTAGTACTTGGGAACGTGGTACGAAGCCGAACACTACGTGAACATCTTCGAAATCGGAACTCGTTGCGTGAAAACCAACTACACCAAAGCCGTCGATGGTAGATACCTTGTTTCCAACGAAATCATGAACAGATTGTACGTACAACAATTGCCAACATCTGCTGTTGACATGTTAATATTAAAATAATGTGACATTTTGTTTTATGTTTTCACAGCACCGGAGTGAAACGCGTATTGGACGGTGAAATCAGATTGATCGTCAAAGGAGCTGATTCCAAAATGAACGTCAAGTACACAACATTGCCAAGTAAATATTATATATTATTATTGTGTGTTCAAATCACGGTTTATCTAAAAAAAAAAAAAAAAAATGAAAAACAGACGTTTTGCTTTTGACGATATCAATTTCGTTTGTAATTTGAAACTCTCGATGATATCGTTTTACTTTATCGCGTAAAATGCGAGTGTTAGTAACCGGTGCCATTTTTATTTACAGTCTCTTACTCCACCGAACAAATGATTTTGGAAACCGACTACGATTCCTTTGCCGTCGTCTGGTCTTGCTCGTCCTATGGAGTAGCTAACACACGTGAGTACTTGACTATACAATTTGATTACGCATAGAGCACATACGTACCTACTTCAATATAAATAAATCGAACGTACTGATATAATATGATGCTTGCTCTTCACAGAAAACGCCTGGATCTTGACCCGTGAAAAGTTAGCTCCCGGTACCGTTATGCAGAAGGCCTACGGAGTATTGGACAAGTACAAGTTGAGCAAGAGCTACTTCCGCAAGACAGACCAGAACAGCTGTGCCATCGCCGAAGCTGCACCCAATGATACCACCAGCGAGAACAAATGGAGAAGGAGGAGGAGCTTGAACTAAATACGCACTACTATACGTCTGCAGTACAAAGATCATAATAATTATATTTAATAGTATTAAGAATACGATCATTATTTATTTATTTATATTTATTCGACAATATCATGATATGATAAAAAAAAAATATATATAGATTTTAAGCGACGAAATGAGTTGTTAAATTTTATCATCATTTGTTCTCATCGTTTACCTACAGAATCTTAAGCCTTCACCACGTGTTTACTATTCCTAATATGATATTGAGGATTGCATAATATAAGTACTTCATGGCTTATTAATTGTGTCAAAAAAAAAAAATTGGCCGTAGAAACGTTGTCTTTCATCTTAAGTTGTGCTACTGAACTGAACAATCACATAATGTCTACGTAGATAATACTGTCGAAAATATGCCTGTAAAGTTTTTGTCCATTTCATTACTATACGTAATGTGATTTATAATATTATATTCAGTGTAAAAAGAATATAAACCCAAATAAATATGAATATTATAAGACATAATAATATACACCTCAACAACGACTGCAATATACATTTTTTTTTTATCACCAACGATACATTAGATCAAACATAATACAATCATCAGCTGATGTACCCAGTTCATATATCGTCGATTAAAATAAATACTTTTATAATATACAAAAACATAATAAACATTCTACACACAATCACTCGTAAAATGAGCTCACGAATAAAGTCGATACTAAAATATTATATTGTTTTTATTTTTTATTTTAATCGAGTACCGATATTTATTCTTAACCAAAAGCAGGCGAATTGGCACAACAAAAGCTAATGGAAATTATTAGCATGATAGTAATAATAATAATAATTCCCACCAGGCAGTTCAACAAACCTTTAACGTGTATATTGAAACGGTATTAGCGACGATTTCTTTCGCGAGTGAAACTTTTTATACACAACTTTCAACTTACGATAGCTGTATACTATAAGTTCAGCAGTAAAATGATAAACAACACTTACATGCTGGACGTAATAATCAACGCGTGGGTCGTCGTTCTCATATTGCCTACACGACTTGCAGACTTGCAGATCTAAGGCACGATTGAAATAGTTTCCTCGACAGTATATACTCGACATGGCGCCACTTTAACTATTATTTGTTATGTATAGGTACAGGGTAGTCCATCGCATTTTACCATTTTCTCGTTTAACCGGCATGTAAATCAACGGTAAATCGAGGTACAACCCTGCACTGTGTGTATAATATAATAATTATTATACAGAATGATTAACCAAGTGTGCTCATACACCATTTTTTATTTTAAAATAATTTTATTAACCGGCTTTTGAGATTTTTAAACATACTCAAAGACAGTATTTTTAAATCCTTCGATTTTTATACCACGTAAAGAGCGTTCTGGGACGACGACACATTTTTTTTTTTTAAATCAGAAACTCTAATTTTTGACAGTAAATTAACAATCAGATGATATTTTTAAAAATGTCTAAATCAAAATTTGCAAGAGTCATTTTTCAGCTATTTTTTTTTTCATACGACAAACTGAGATATTGTGATAATGCATATTGTACTGTTTATAAATTAACTACGGGTAATATTCCTTAATAACGATTTTACATAAAATATATAATATAATATGATGGTAATGTATTTTTCAATTTTTGTATAGTAACTACTTATTGTACTCTGCCAGCAACAAAAAAGCCTATTTTCATTTGAAAAAAGGTTTGTTTGGCTCTTCAAGTTGCGTACATCTATAGGTATACATAAAAATAAAGTCTTTGAGACATTTCACGACACGAGTACTCGAACAACTAAAAATTCAGAATTTAAAAAAATATCCGGGTGACCATGTTTGACGAATCAACGCAGAATAATACATTTACTTTATAATATACTTACCCGTAGCTATATACATCTCTGCCGAGATTATTAAACATCGGTTTTTGCTCGATGTCCACTAGGAAACAAATCATAACTGTATAATAATTAATCCAATTCCGAGTAGGTATCTATACATACCCACGGGAGCACTATACATGCATAATATCATTATACGGATGACAAACAACGCAGATCGCGATGCTAAGTTACATTTTGATAACATATTGTTTGAAAAAAAAGCCATCCAATTATTAGTCTCATTTTATCCGCTGTATTAATTAACATTGTGATGTATCGCTGTATACGCGCATGAAATAACAAAAAACCGATAATACGATTGCAGAAACTTGCAGACACATTTTTGACCAAAGAATCGTTTTTGTTTTTATTAAAAATTCAGAGCGGTAAACTGAATTTTACATTTTTCAACCATTAATTGCTATCATCAATGAACAAATAACGTACACATATTTATACATTTTTTTCATAAATTTCAAATTGGAGGGAGGGGGCTATAAATATTGTACCTCGACGTCCTCAATCCATTTAATATTCATGGGTTGCCTATGATTTTAATGGCATCCGGTCATCTAATGGTGAATAGAATTTTTGGTAAATTGATAAATGACTTACGTCACGACTTAAACGAGTCGTGTACCGTCTACTGTCTACATAAATAATTAAATCATTTAATATTAATGAATAATAATCCAAATTTTAATATGTAATCACGGTACCAACGATGGATAACTAGAGATCATTTTCATTAAAAACGTATTTAAATGATATCTAAAAATCAAATTATTGTTGTCCATAATATGTCGTCCTTAAATTGCCTATACTCAACGCCTTATAATAATTATTAAATCCTTGGTTTTATTTTGATCATTATAAATTATGGTACTTAATAGATGTATGTTATATTGTTTATTAAGTAGGTATAATTATTATGGATTATTCAAAATAAACTCATTGATCACAAAGTTGATGAAATCGTAAATTTTGATTGAATAAAGTTGTCATAAACAAGTTTTGAATATTGGCAGATGCCATTACATTTTTATACTTACTGTGGGCTATTCCGAAAACTATTTGATGGTTTAATATTAAAAATGTCAAAGTATGATTAAAATTTTTGAACTCTTGCAAGACTTTGATACGTAACTATCTGTTAATAATGAGTTGAAAGGATAGCACAGCATTGCACAATGGTTTTCAAAGTCAAGTTTGTGAGTACCTACCTTGTTTAAATTTGGGGAGAAATAGTTCATTCTAAAGTTTAACGTACGGAGTAATAAATTATTTCAATACAATGACGTATTGATTATGCCATAATATATTATAGTTGACCGATGTCGAAAACTCGATACCTCAATACCAAAAGTAATAATGCGCGTTGGTTTTGCAAACTTTGCGATCAGTTAGAGTTTGTAAGAAGTAAGTGCTTAATTTATATACCTTCTATTATTATGATTAAGGTTACAATATTGATATTACCTATGTCACTATGTTCCTTTCCCCTAAATTTAGGACATTCTTATAACTCCGTGAAATCTTGTATCTAAAATATCAAACTAAAGACAAAATAATTATTTCATGCTCATAATAGCTAATCAAATATAAAATTATATTCAAATCATAAATCCATATCGGACACATTGTAAATGTTTGCATTTATGACCAAAGAAATAAAAATATCGAAATTATTCATAATCATTTGTTTTAATCAAAAATAATATTTTTACTATATTTCCGAGGATATAAACAGTATCAGCTATTAAGTAGGTATTTACGTCCAAAAAAATATTATATAAATATCAAGATGATTTGTTTGTAATTTACTATATTTTGATCACAATTCGTTTATAGAACACTGGATAATTACATAATAAATATAAATAAAGAAAATCGATGCATATAAAGTGGTAGTTTAATTGCCATGAAAATATAACTATTTAAAACTTAAAATATATGAACCAAAATAAACTTGTAAAATTAAGCGCTTTGTAACTTTTTTGTACTTCGATTAAACTACATAAGAATGAATAGTATGCTTAAATTATTATGAGACCATAAAAACAATGAAACACTGTACATTTTTTTTTTATTAGAAATGGATTATCTGAATTTGGTCACGTGTATTGCATACTGCAAGCATATACTCAAATTGGTTAAACTTTATCGAAACAAATTAAAAAGTTTATTGTATATATAAAATACACCCGATTGTATTTTTTGAACGCCAATATTATTTTTACAAAGGAAATAATAGTTTTGAGTAAAATGTAAATTAAATTTAGTACATAACAACGTGCATAGCAAAAAAAAAAATCGATCTTGATCAAACAGCTGAAGTTTTCCGAGATCGAAACGTAAAAAATACCATCAGAAAAACCAAACTTAAAACTAAGAACATTTACAGAAACTAAACTAATAAAAAATTACAATAAAGAACTCGAGAAAAAATAAACGTCGAAACAAAAAAATATATACATATAACTGAAATCAATTAATGCAGAATTATTTATTTTTTGTTTTAATAAAAATTCATGCTACTAATAAAATTTATATTTTTTTATATTGCTGTCCTAATCGATAAATGTTTTTCTTTTTTTATTGCTCTTAATTACATCGGCTGAAAACGCCATTATAGTTAAACCATTACATGCAGTTCAACAGTAGGGAGTTGTGTTGCGATACTTACTATCTAAATTTGGCTGAACAGGATGGTTTTTCTCTAGAAATTTGATCATGTTGTTGATGTCTTCTGTATTGCGACCCAAAGACCTAAGTTGGTTGGAATGTTGAGTTTTTGACGTTTTATTGTCATATTTATGGCATTTAGTTATTACTTATTAAGTACTTAACTGTTAAGTAAACGCCACAGGTGGTTCCTATTTAGCCATTAAGAACTTACGGATCATCCTTATGTGGCCTACCTGGAGACGATTGATTACTATTTTTTTTTTTTCTGTTCAGATTAAATTGGTCATTGATATATTGAATTTTTGATTTCGAGAAGTTTGGTATGTTGCCTTAAACAGTGGTCTTGCCATAATTTAGACACGTTTTTGGATTTAGTTTTTGAAATCTGTGTATGTTGTAATGTTTAATTTTGGAGTGCCTGAGGATTTTGCTGCTACCTTGGCTTTTTCATCTGTATTTTCGTTCCATTCTATACTGCCGTGCCCAGGAATCCAAATTAGAGATATGTTTGCTTTTCTGTCTATTGATTGGCTTATTTTTTGTTGAATAATCTTTGTTATGTCTGTTGTGTATA